GAGACCAGCCTGGGTAACACAGTGAGACCCCATCTCAAAAACAAATAAATAAATAAATATTTAAAAAATGCATATCTATTAAAAAACTGCATTTAAAAATATTTTTAATTACAGGTGGACCGAACTTTATTTATTTATTTGTTTGTTTGTTTTTATGTGGTGTTGAGGATCCAACTCAGGGCCTCACATGTGCAAGGCAAGCGCTCTACCACTGAGTCACAACCCCAGCCCTTAAAAAACTGCATTCTTTAATGATACTCCCTTTTCAGGAATTAAACAATTAAGAAGAAGAAGGTGGCTGTCTTTTCAAATAACATTCCTAAAACATTACACTATTCTGGCTGTGATACAGTTACCAAGCTAGGAACACATGACAGATATGTTCAGAATAGTTCAGGCTGCATGGATACCAGCAACAAACTCTGGGAACTATGACAAGAAGAAGAAAGACAATCCAGAGTAGATTCTGGAATAGAGGGGAAAAAAATGTTCTAGTAACATAAGCGGTTCTTGGCACAAACCTTTTGTGATACAATTAACCCTTAAAGAAACAGGTAGAATTCTCTTAGACCAAAACCACATCAATGAATTTCATCCACAGCATACATATGAAGATTTTACAATTTACTTTGGGTACTATCAAAGAAATGTCTGTGATATACAGAATATGCAGAGTGTCAGAGAAGAGAGAAGCAACCATAGTCACTAAACCATACTGCATAGTAGGCAAGAAGGGGAAACAAGAATTGAATGCTATTGTGCTTAAGCAAGCATAGCAGCCAAACAGCTGACCCTGGAGCACGGTGCCTTACCAATGCTCAAACAAAGAAAAGAAAATGTTCAAGAAGATAGATGTGGGCACATTAACATTTTAATTTCCACACTGTAAAGAAACTGTTAATATATAGGCCAACTAATCAGGATTTAAGAGTAGTTCAGGCTGGAACCAGGAACTAAAATCATTTAGGGAATAGTGAATAAGCCTGTATTTAGGTTAAAAAAAAAGGGGGGGGGGCTGGAGTTGTGGCTCAGCGGTAGTGCACTTGCCTGGCATGTGTGAGGCCCTGAGTTCAATCCTCAGTACCACATAATAAACAAGTAAATAAATAAATAATATCCATTGACAACTAAGAATATATTTAAAAAAGATATGAAAGACCTTGTTTGACAGCAGTTTTATTTAGGGGAAATAACTATTTTAATATGTCCCAAGAGTGGGATATAGAAGCTTCAAATTAGGTGTCATTTTTGGTTATTATTAAAAAACAAAGCATTTTTTAAAAAGGCATGTGTGGAGCCAGATGTGGAGGTGCACACCTGTAATCCCAGTGACTTGGGAGGCTGAGGCAAAAGGATACCAAGTTTGAGGTCAGCCTTAGCAACCTAGTGAGGCCTTAAGCAACTTAGTAAGATCTTGTCTAAAACTTAAAAAGGACTGAGGATACAGCTCTATGGTTAAGCACCCCTGGGTTCAATCCCTGGTACCAAAAAATAAGGTGTGTGGGGGTTGAGATGTGACTCAGTGATACAGTGCTTACTTAGTAAGTAGAATGCCCTGGGTTCAATTCCCAGTACTCCCCCCACCCCCAGCAACAACAACAACAACAAAAATATGTGTGCATAGCAAAGGGAGATTTCAGGAATGAGACACAATTGTTCCAATTCACTTAGAAGGCTGAAATTAAGACCACCTAATAGAAATTACAAAAGTGAACTTCAGACAATGGGTATAGTTCAGTAGTAGAGCACTAGGTGAGGTCCTGGATTGGATCCCCTAGTAATGAAGAAAAAAAGAAAAAGAAAGCTTCATATTCTAATCAATGAAGTTCCTTGATTTCCATCACTGAATACTCTGTGGAGGCAGAATGATCATTTTTCAGGGAGGCAACAAAGGAATTTCAGTGAAGAGAAGGATTTATTCTAGATCTTTGCTACTCAAAGTGTGGTATATGGATGGCTAGCATCAAGGTCACATGGGAGCTTGTTAGAAAAGAGTCTCAAGCTCTATCCAAAACTAATGAATCAGAACCTGCATTATCACAACATCTCTCAGTGGCTTGAATGCATATTAAAGTGTAAGCAGCACTGCACTTGATAATTAAAGACTTGTATTAACTCCATTCTATTTCCTGTTAAATACAAGTACACAAATGGAAACTACAGTTCTGCTCTATGAGTTCTAACTTACTCACAGCAATAAGGGAGGCAACATTGCCCAAGGGTTGCCAATGACTTCTGTGACTACATCAATAGATCTGCTTTTAGTATTTATCTTATTAATTGCTGGGTAACAGTGGACACCTCAGTCCTGCTTTCCTGCTACTTCTCTGCAGGAATTTTTCTATGTTGCCCCTTATATTCTGGTGCCACTTGTCTTGCTTATTATGATGTTCTACCTTCTCTTCTTTTCCAAGTCCACACACCCTGGAATTCCAAAGTGATCTCTTCTAGTCCCACATTTTAAACTATCGTTTCAATGACTTCCTTTTGTATCCCTTCAGCCTAAGTTTCTTTTCTGTGCTCTTAATTTGTTTGTTCAACTGGCTGCTGGACATTTCAAAGGTTTCCTAGAATGTCAAATTCTGCAGAGCCAACACTGAACTCATCATCTTATATTAACCTGTTTCTCCCTGGGCTATTTTCTATCCCAGATAAAGATGCTAACAAGATCCCCAGCTACCCAAGCCCCAATGCCCCTGCCCCCAGACCTAATGCCACTTAAGTCATCTTCTCTCTCTTGCTCCTCCATTGGTCTGTTCCCAGGAACTGCTATTTTGAAATTCCAGGAGTCTCTTTATCAGTTCACCTCACTCCATTGCTACAGGTGCTGTGGCTGCCACTCTGGTCAAGGTCACCCCAGCTCTGACTTCCTGGGCAACAGTGCCAGTCTCCTTCTATCCCACCTGCCTTTGTGATTGCTTTCCTCCATCCATGCTGCACATAACACAAGCCAAAGTAGTTCTTCTAAAACATACTATCTAATTTTTCTTCTTTGAAACTCCTCCATTACATGCTTCACTCTCCTCCCTGCTCTACTCCCCATCACCCTCTCCATAAGGGTAAATTTCCCAGTGTCCAGGTACTTTCCCCTAATTCAGGAATGTATTATTCTCCAGACATTCTGAAGATGTGTGACCCTGCTCATAAAAAGAACAGAGTAGGAAGCAGCAAACAAATTAACACACATTTCTACATATGCAGTCAATGTTATCCACTGTGGTGGGTTAGTGGTACTTTTTCTTTTTTTTTCCCCTCTACTGGTTATAAAAAAACACTTGACAGCTTTATTAATAATGCTTCAAATTATATGTAATCCAAATTTAAATGAACAGGAAGACTGATAAACAAATGGTGGTATATTCACATAATCGAATATAACCTAACAATAAAAAAGATGAATGATGACATAGATGAAAATTAAAATCACATTGAGTAAAAGAAGGCAGACATGAAAGGATATACACTCAATGATTCCATTTATATAACAGTCTAGAATAGGCAAAATAAATCTACAGTGATAGGAATCACAATGATGATTGCCTTAGATGTGGAGGGTACTTGATTGGGAAGTGACAGTGAACTTTTGGGGGATGATTGAAATGTGCTATGTCTTAACTGGATAGTGAATAAATGTATGTATAAAATTGTCAAAACCCATGAAATAGTAGTGGTACTTTTCTATAAAAACAAGAAAGCATATTTCACCAATTAGAGAATAAGTACATTTTTATCAAGTATACAGATTTTTGATCTGCTCCTTACCTGCTTTTTACAAATTGCCTGAGCTCCTGAAGCTTCCATTTGTCATATTTTTCAAACCGCTTAAAGTGTTCCTCTGCATGAAATTTATCAGAAGGTGAGTTATAGGCAAAAACCAGGCCACACTGGGCACCAATGCCGCCACGTCGAACCTGAAAACAGAGATCAGAATGGAGAACATCAAAGTGGTAAAAGTTCTACAGCTAGCTGGGTGCAGCGACACACACATGTAATCTCTTCAACCCAGGAAACTGAGGTAGGAGGATCTCAAGTTCAAGGCCAATCTCAGCAATTTAGCTCTAAGGTAACAATAAAAAATAAATAAAATAAAATGTTTATAGAAATTGTGATTTTTAATTTGAAGAGAGAAAATATCACACAACTGACCATCTTTCTGAGTCATACCTAAAACCTTGACTGATGTTTGATCAAGTCAAGCAGGTTTAGAGGCTGAGAAAGGGATTAGTTTCTAGAACACTGTGAGGAAAGACTGTAAAAGACACTGAAATGGACAAAAAGAAGCTCAGTGGTAGAATGCTCCTGGGTTCAATACACAGTACAAAAAAAAAAAAAAATTCTATGGCCGTTTCGTTTCCAATTAATATGGTTAAATTCAAACCTCTAACACAAAATCAAACCAATGAAATGATACTCAGACTTATTAAGCCATAGAAAAGTGAGAAAGCGGCATCTCAAGAAGTGTTCTTTTTCAATCCTTAAAGTCATACCATTCACAGATTTCACTAATCTATCCATCTTTGTGTCCTTACTCTCTGCTATAGGCCTGACAAAGGTCAATAATCACTATATACCCAATGAAACAGTAACAATATGGCCTTCTAAAATGTAATCCTATTACTTAAAAAAAAAAAATAAGTAGTAACATTGCTTAAAGAAGTTAGTAGGACAATTACCATGATTCTGATTTGTGTAACTTGGAAGGCAGACTCAGTTCCTGCAGAAAAAATAGTACTTGCTCTGGTTTTTCCAGTCTCTGTAAGAAAACCTGAAAGAAAAAAAAAATGTACAGTTAGGATGACTGCGCATTTTTATAACCCTAAGAACTAAGATCACAAAAACAAGGAGGTAACTAGTCTATCTGGTACCATCATAAAAATGAGTAAAGGTTTCACCTTTGGACAGATGCAACTTCCCTGACAAAGCCCTAAGTAAGCAGAGCACCAGCCAGGTACTACTCTTCCTCAGAGCACAACTCTTCAACCTTACATGTAGGCAGCTCTACTCTGAAGTAACGATTAAAAAAAAAAAAAAAAAAGGTTTATAGAGATAGTGAGTTTAATTCAGAGGCAAAAGACTGCACACTCAATCATCTTCCTAAATCATACCTAAAACCATAACTGATGTTTGACTGGGCTGATCAATGCAAGTAGGCTTAGAGGTTGAGAGAGGGATTAATTTCAGAAGACTGTGGGGGAAAGATTGTAAAAGACACTGAAATGGACAAAAAAGAATCACTGGGTGTCCTGTCTAACACGTTCTTTGGTTAAATCCATCTTTTATTGTCTCTAAGCTATTCTATAATTCTTTGGGTTGTAGGATATTGATGGCAATGCAAATGATTCCTGTTGGAAATAAAAATTGTGTTCTGTGGAAATGAAACTGATTATTCCTTATGGAACTAAGCAATTTTGAATCTAACTGTAAATTAATTTCAGTATTCTTACTGGTCTGTGTGTATTTTATGAATTCTCCATTAATAAAAAATATGTCATGTTTGTTTCCATTTGCACAGCAGTCATGATTTACCTTTGTCGCTAATTATCCTTTAACAACTCACAAAAAGGTCTTCTGCTAGACTCACAGTTACCTTTCCCTTTCAAACATCTTTATACATAAGGCAAGCATATGGTCACATCAGCATTAAATGACCATTCTTCCTGGAACCCTGACTTGTCCTCAACCATTTTCCCTGTCAAGATGAAAAGACTGAAACCAATTTCATGCTTCTTATTTCATTATACTCAATTCAGTAAAATAAAAATTTATGAGCCTGAATCTCCATAGAACAATGTGCAAAATTTGTCACCAAATTTAATGAAAATGAAATCTGAAGGAACCTGTACTAATTCATAGACAGATGCTATGATTTAGTTCTACCAAACAGTAGTTCTGTAGACAATTTTAAGAAGGCATAGTGGCAGAAATTTTTTGCATAAACTCTCCTAACAGCAATACCAAAAATTATCCTAATTATTGAATTAAAATCTTTCCCAGAGGTCTGGATGACTCTATTTGAAAGTATTTATTGCAAAAGAAAATAAATAGATAATTTTTAAAAAGGAGTCTACTGTGAAGACTAAAATACTACCTAGAAGTTAAGTGCTTAATCAGCCATTTAAGTTAGTCTCAAAGTTGTAGAAGCAATAATAATTTAAAGCAACAGAATTGGAAAGACAATATTTTTTATATAACACTGTCACCAGGTACACATTTAAACTTTGGTTTGGGTTGTTTTTTTTTTTTTTTGTCTTTTTGGCGATGCTGGGGATTGAATTCTTGACCTCATGCATATTAGGCAAGTGCTCTACCACTGAACTACACTCCAGCTCACATTTAAGTTATTTTTAAAGTGGGAGACACACCTTAAAAAATGAAACCTTGTGTTTCCTTTTCTGGGTAAAAAAACCAGCTTGGAAGTTTAGTTGTGATATTTTATATCTATGATCATTTGACACCCTACCCCTACTTGTCAAATTTACTCTCTCAAATGACAGGGAAAAAAATTAATCAACCATGGATTTAAAGGACTTAAGCTGGGCAGAGTGCATGCCTATAATCTCAGCAACTCGGGAGGCAGAAGTAGGAGGATTGTAAGTTCAGTCAGTCTCAGCAACTTAGCAAGGCTCTAAACAACTTAGCAAGACCCTGTCTCAAAATAAAGAATATAAAAAGGGCTGGGGTGTGGTCAGTATTTGAGAGCCCCTGTGTTCAATCCCCAGTACCAAATAAATAAATAAATAAAGGATTAATATCTTCCACTTCAGTTCCTACTAGCCAGTTTTCCTTTCATTTCTAAATAAACCTTTATGTTTACATTTTAAAGTTTTTATTTATTTTTTGAGGTAGGGGCCTCACTAAGTTGCTGAGGCTGCCCTGGAACTTTGGATTCTTCTGCCTCAGGCTCCCAAGAAGCTTGGTTAAATCCTGGTGTAACTGGTGTGTGTCATCATATTAGGCTCTAGTTTTTCTTTAAAATACCAGACCAAGTGGCAGTGGCTTTCAGGAGTGTTAACTTTCTGGAATGTTGGCATTCGTTCTCCGGCCTTCTTGGGTACTACAGTGGCACTTGTCCACAAATGGCACATCCCTGAAGTGGTAGAACCTGAGGTAGACCAGTGAACAGAACTTTCATCCTGTAAGGGGGAAAAAAAATCTGTTCTTCCAAACCCAGCAGTTCTGTTTGTAAGGACTTTGCTCTTGTCTCTAGAATCCTTTTCTTATAGCAGAGCAAGAGACCCACAGGTAACCTGAGTTACAACATAGGGAGTTGTAATGAGAAGCCCAGGAGGAACTGAGGGCTTCTCCCTCACCCATCCACACAGAATCACAACAAAAGTAACAAAGCTATCAGCTACAGCAAGATTTTAAAATTCACTCATCCAAGCGGGTAGAAGATAGGAAGGAGAGATAGGTCCATGTCAGACACAGAGAAAAATAACAAAGTATTAAAATCAGACACCACCAAGAGCTAGCAAATGCAACTTTCAGGTGTAGGAAAAACTAGTGTAGGTTTTTCCAACTTAAAAGTGTTAAAAATCTACACTCTGGGCTGGGAATGGTAGCATGTGCCTGTAATCAATCCTAGCTGCTTAGTAGGCAGGAGGATCCCAAGTTGGAGGCCAGCCTAGGTAACTTAGTGAGACCATATCTCAAAATATAAAAGGAAAAATACATAAATAAATGAATATAAGAGGGCTGGGAGTGTAGCTCAGTGGTAAAGTACCCCTGGGATCAATCCCCAGTAAACAACAACATCAAATCCTCAATCTGGTGTCAGATAATTTGGTTCCACATGCTCCAGAGGCAAAAATTCCAATTTTTCAGAATGAAGGAAAATGCAAAGGGTCTTTGGCAAAGAAGTCTTACATTTCCTGTGTAAGGTAGTAGAAAAGTGCAAAGAGCTGTCTCTACCTCCTCCCAACCTCATTGGCTTTAGATGGCAGGTGACTCAACAGACCTAGAAAGTGGCTGGACATGGATGCAATGAAGGAAATTTTCCTGCAGAGGTTGAACTGCTAAGGGAAAACTAGGGAAACCATCTTGTGCAAGTATAATGCTTAAGAGGAGGTACTGAGAAGAGGAGGTATAACAGGGAAGGCATGTTTTCCCAGGGGTCTGTACTTCATTGGTGCTAAGAATGAACACAGGAAACAGGAAAGAGAAGAGGCAACACTGAGAATGTATGAATGAAGACAGCAGTGCCGTGAGGAAAGCCAAAGGGAAACCAATTCAAGGCAACAAGCCATGCCTTCCTATGTTCTATACCCTTCTTTTAAAAATCAGCGAGATTCAAAAAGGTACCGTAAGTAGAAAAGTGACACATATATGGCACTGAGCTGGTGGCCACCAAGATGGATGAGGAACAGACTCACAAACACCCCCTGGATATGCAAAAGAACCACCAGCAAAATGAAATGCCCATTAGGAATCATTAAGTTGATACTAGGGATGAGTGACGCTTCCTCCTAGGTAATCAAATGCCAAATCAGCTGCATTGGGGGAAATACCCCTTTTAGCTGTGTTTTCAGCAGTGTGGTGCTACTGATCTACTGAATTTCTTAACACTGTTATAATACAACAGAAGGACAATCCAAACTAAAAAACAGAGAAAAGCAATAACTTTCTGTTGTAAGAGGAGAATTTGCTTTTCAAAACTTGAGTTTTGGGCTGGGGATGTGGCTCAAGTGGTAGCACGCTTGCCTGGCATGCGTGCAGCCTGGGTTCGATCCTCAGCACCACATACAAACAAAGATGTTCTGTCCACTGAAAACTAAAAAATAAATATTAAAAATTCTCTCTCTCTCTCTCAAAAAAAAAAAGCTATTTAAAAAAAAAAAGTTGAGTTTCGAAGAGCTCTCAGACTTTCAAATACTTGTAAATTCTTATAGGTTATTAATACCGATATAGATTACTAACACAAATAGTTCAGCAACTATTGCCAACAGGCTGAGGTAAAGACTGCATGCCTGAAAATGTCAAAGACCAGAGTATGACTTCACACAGCTGCCTTCTGAGCACAATAGCAATTGTCCCACCCACTGCTCACCATCCCTTGTCCACGGTTCCACAAGTAGGTTTTCAGGTCCTGACTTGTCTTCTTTTCCTTTGACATCACAAGCCTGAAGAGTCAACTGGAGAGGTTTACCTGCCAAACAAAAGAGAAGGCAAGCCTTAAGTTAGGTCTATGAAAAAATGTAAACTAGTGGGCATTGTGAGTGGAAATGCAGGCCTATAGTTACCCACACCATTAATAAGTTATTTATTTATTTATTTTTGCACCAGGGATTGAACCCAGGGGCACTTAACCTCTAAGCCACATCCCCAACTCTTTTTAAAATATTTTTAGTTACAGTTGGACACATTACTTTTATTTTATTTTTATGTGTGTTGAAGATGAAACCCAGTGCCCCACACATGCTAGGCAAGCACTCTATCGCTGAGCCACAACCCCAGCCCCCCAACCCTTTTTTATATTTTATTTAGAGACCAGGCCTCGCTAAGTTGCCAAGGCTGGCTTTGAACTCTCCTCCTGCCTCAGCCTCTGGAACCGCTGGAATTATAGGCATGCGCCACCACATTCAGCAAAGTTACTGATTGTAAAGCATGATATTAGGCAAAAGTGGACATTATTCCTCTGTGCTTTTCTAAAAGAAAAAAGTAGAGCTATGTCCCTGAGTGATTCTGAAGAGAGGTCTCTAAAAATAATCACTGTTTCAGAAACAAAGCATATTATAACATAGATTAATACTACAGATTCAACATACTTTGTAGGAGGTGGAGTCCTAAAATATCATTTTGAAGCTAATAATCAGTTTTACTGGTATTGTATTTTAAATATATAAACAATGTTTTAGGTTTTATTTCTTCAAAACATCTCTAGGAGATGTCTCAAAAATAAATAAACAAACAAATACAAAGGATTAGGAATGTAATTCAGTGGTGAAGTGCCCCTCTATTCATTCCCCAGTACACCCCCCAAAATATCCAGGTCAATTTTAATAAAAATCAATTTTTGTTACGGTGATCTGACTTCTTTTAGTAATATAATAAATACTTGTTAACCTCTAACACAACCCATAACTGGCTAATTATCTGCTGTTCCCCTCTCAGAACAACTAATTTGAATCATCAGCTTTCCTGAAGAACACTTCAGCTTCTAGAAACTACCTCTACCTCCTACCTAGCCATGCCTGAATCAGGACCCTACCTCTCCAAATGTAGAAGGAAATTGGATTTAAAAGACATCAATTGTATGACTTTAGAAGTTAAACATAAAATTAAATCATGAAATCATATTAAAACAGAGGTACAAATATCACAGCAATGCCTCTATTACTAAAGAGGATGGGATCTAATATCCAAAGTTTGTGAACAAAAACTTATTACTAGAGGTCAGGATGGCAAGCAAGTTGTTCCTCACATGACAGGTGCAGTCATTGGGGAACAGCTGTATGGGGTCCTATGTTAGGATGGACTGCAAATGGGCCCAGGAAGGGAAAGTTGTGGCAACTATGTACAAATATAATTCTAAGAAGCTGTGTGGGAATAAGAAGGATGCACTCTAAGCCAAGGATCCCTTTGCACCAGGTCTTGACTAGCTTCCTCCCTCCAGATGAGAAGTACTCTAACTTTTCAAATCTCTTAACCTATCCAATAAGATATTCCTGTACTTCACTAAAGATGGCTGTGTTCAAATGCCACCAGACATAGGGACTATTCTAATAAATCTTGGGAGTATAGCCCAGGATACACTTAAATGTCCTCTTCTGCCGACCCTACCATAAATAAAACAACATTCCCCCTCTCCCTACCAGCTATAGTAGAAGTCTTGTACTGGAAGGATATGCACAAGGAATCATGGTTCAACTACAAAAGACAGTCCACAAACTACCCCCAAAAGACAGGAAGATGCCAGGAGGGCCCAGATTGAGAATGCTTTTAGGATTTGTCCACTGCTGGCATTTCTATCATGCCTAGGTCATTTACCGTATTTGAGGAGCAGGTTCTGTCTGACTGATGCCATGGATGAGATGAGGGACGAGGCATCATACCCTGTGTCCAGGTGGTCAGTGATGGTACACAGAGAGCTCATCACTTTGGCAACACTTCCTCTTGCTAGTGCAAAAGCCAGAAGAGTCAGTTCCACCTCTGGGGTAGAACAGCAGCTATAAAGAACAGAAAAAACAACAACAACAAAAACAAAAAAGACCTCTTCACTTCCAAAGAATATAAAGAAACCCAGATAGCTCAAAACCATGTAATTGATCAATGAGTGAAATTAATCTGCCATATGCTTTCTTTCTTATCTCTCACTGTTTTTTTTTTTGTTTGTTTTTTTAGTACTTAGGGATTGAACCCAGGGCCATTTAATCATTGAGCCACATCGCTGACTCTTTTTTAAAACATTTTATTTTGAGACAGGGTCTGGCTAAGTTGCTTAAGACCTCACTAAGTTGCTGAAGCAGGCTTTGAACTCGAGTTCCTCCTGCCTCAGCCTCCTGAGTCACTGAGATGACAGGAATGTGCTACCATGACTGGCTGCCATATGCTTTCTATATATTCATCAGAAATACTTTATTAATATCCTTAAGATAACTTAGGGAAAAACTAAATCAACCCAGGGGAACCAGGGAATTAAATTCCCATTTCTGAAATCATACTCTATAAATACTAAATGATAATCATAAACCAAAAATAAATGAGCTGCTGCAATAAGCCTTTACTATTCAGAAACCTGTGGTAATGAGTTGGCTTGGCTAAAGAGTATGTTTCTTGAGAAGCATGAAATAATTATATTTACTCCCTTCACATTTCACTGCCCTTTTAAATACATCACACTGAAACATTTAAAACTATTTAGATATCAGGGTCTAGTTTGTCTTCTAATACAGTAATGTCCCCAGAGCTCACTGAGGCAGAGCTGAGTGTCCCTACACTAAGTGTTCCCTCAAACAACCAAGAAGCCCCTTCCCGTTCTATGTAGAATCAGGCCTAAGCCCTGTGCAAAGGTAAGCAGGCTCTGAGTGAGGGCAGTGGCCTGGGGATAACAGTGAACTGAGAGGTTTCACATTTTGAACTTTGAGACATCTCTTCCAGATGAATCTAAGGACTTTTCCTCCTGCCTGAATAATTCTAGAGGACAGGTGATACCAATAGGACTAAGGATGAACTATTATTTCACTTTCTCTTCAGCCACAAGATAGAGATCATTTTCAGTAGTAATTTTTAAAAGATTTCCTTTTTAAATTTTGAAAGACTTAGTCGAGTGTGGTGCACACACCTGTAATCCCAGCAGCTTAAAGACAGCCTTAGCAACTTAAGGAGGCTGTAAGCAACTTAGCGAGGCTATAAGCAACTTAGCGAGACCCTGTCTCAAAATAAAAGATAAACAATAAAAAGGGCTGGGGATGTGGCTCAATGGTTAAGTACCCTTGAGTTAAATCACTGGTACCAAAAAAATTTTTTTTAATAAAATAAAAAATTTGAAAGACTTAACATGCATACATGCCCTCCACCCCCCACAAAGAGTTTACCTCATCAACCTTGATTTTACCTAGTTATTCTTATGAGGAAGCTGTCCACTTCTTCCAGGACATTGGGAGACAGGAAAGTGGAGAAATCTGTAGATCCTGGTGAGAGGGAAAGTGGAGGCATGTGCTGTAGTGCCTTCCTAGAAAAGTAATAAGCCAAACATGCATTAGACAAAAACATTGTTGTTCTGATTCATCCCTTATAAAACAGTCAGTATGCCTACAGAGAACCTAAGACACAATATAAACCAGCCTTATCCCTAGGAGTCATAGTAGATTAGATTTAGCTAAGTAGTGTAATAGGGTTTCTTTCTTTTTCAAAGTATCATTTCCCTCTGGAAAAGTTTATGGGGTACTCTAGAAGCCAGCATTTATTTTAAGTAGTGTAAGCGAAAGACAAACTACAGAAAATTCAGGGGTTCTTAGGGAATCTGACCTCAGAGGCAAGTGCAGAGTGTAGTTCAATAGGAAGCCTGTTTTATACATAGGCTCTTAAGATCTATGGCATCTAAAAAGGTGTCATGAATTTTATTGTGTTCTAAACAGATCAACACCATCACGTTCTCTATTCCTGTGTGTGTGTCTTGGCCTTTCCACCTTCATGTCTCTTTTAATGTTTCTCTTTCCTCATCACCTCTGAATGTTTAGCTTTATCTTTCTGAATCCCCCAAGGACTTGTCTTCTCTGGACTATTAGCCAACTTTTCTTTTTTTTTAATTTGGGATTGAACCCAGGGGCACTCTACCACTGAGCTACATTCCCAACCCTTTTTATTTTTTATTTTGAAATGGGGCCTCACTAAGTTGCTGAGGCTAGCCTTGATCTTGTGATCCTACTGCTTTAGCCTTCTAAGTCTCTGGGACTACAGATGTGCATCAACACATCCAGCTCATCTAACAAACATATATAACAAATGATTAATGAGTCCTACCACATGTTAGAAGCTATGCTAGGTGAATATACCATGAAAAGCTTGAAGGTATACCACAAGTGGATCAAAAAACCCTCAAAATTCTAGAATTGTCATTTTATGACAATAATAATAATGAGTCCCTGAAACATTTTTATTTTTGCATTTCAAGATACAGCAAAGCTAACACTATGTCAATTTCCCCTCTGCTCTGATTTCCTTCTTGTCCACCTGATAAGCTGTGTTTGGGCTGTATGGCAGCTACACTCAGGTACAGCTCATCAATGAGATCTAAGGCATACAAGTAGCATGTGATCATTTGCTGAGTTTATTTCCACTGATAAAAGTAAACACTTATGTTCCAAATATACTTTTTCTTATTTATTTTTCCTCATTGATCTTTTTCACAATATATTTTCAATTTTAGGAAAGTTTTAGATAACTGATTTTTAAAACTGAAGGGGTGCATAAAAATGTCATTGACGATGCACTAGTAAAACTGAGCAGGATAATTCCATTCTTCAATAACCTGGCACATCTTCAAAATAATAATAATGTAGAAAGCTCTTTCTTTCCCCCTTCCTAAAAATCTAGTCTATTTGGTAGAGCTGAACAAGCTGTACAAGTGTGCCAGAGGTGGGGAGAGCCATGGTGGCCTACAGTCGGGTATCTACACAAAGGAACAGACCAATTGGAATGCAGGTACCAATGATGGCAAGAAGGGTGGCCTAATACAGGGAAGAGGGGACACACAGACTCTACAGAGGACAAGAAAGGCATCTGTGCAAAAGGTGGCCATAGCAGCAGCCCTGCTAAAGGTGTTAAGCAGGAGTAAGAAGAGAAGTGTGTCTATGCAAGGACAGGGGCAACAGGACTCTGACTATCTAGAAAGAGGTTGAAGAAGTAAGTACACATATGAAGGATGATGGCAGCCAGGTTTGTCACTATCAGAGAAGGCAGTTACAAATCCTGAAAGGGAGACAACTAGAATGAATTCTGTAGTACTGGGTTAGAACTGAAAATATCAGTGTAAACTCAGTTTTTATTTTCATAGAAAAATAATACAGATATAAATAGTTATACAATATTCCTATACAAATGTATTCTGCCTAGCTATGTCCACTGAAAGGATATGGAAGAAGTAACACCTTGACAGTAATGAATTTGTCCAAAAGCATCATTATCCACTAAAAAGGACCCTGATTCCTTAGAAAAATGTTTGATTCTAGGACTAAGGGAGGGAACACTCAAACCTGCAATGCCTTGTGCTAAAAGCAGCAGCAGGGTATAATGGTGTTCACCTGAGTCCCAGCTATTTGGGAGGCTGAGGTAGGAGTATCACTAGACCCCAAGAGTTTAAAACCAGCGTAGGCTACAGAGTAACACCCCATCTTCCCCACAACACACACACACTGACATGCATACATGCACGAGAGAGAGAGAGAGAGAGAGAGAGAGAGAGAGAGAGTCAGAGACACACAACAGTAAGGAAGTATTCTTAAAATGAGGATATTAGCTAGATTGAAGGGGTTGCCACTGGCCAAATGTGGGACAATCTAAGCACCAAACCTGTGGCTAATTATAACCCAGTTAATAAGATTCCATGAGTCTTTTGTGTATGTGTGCGTGCAAATGTTCCCCAGTAGCTAAGAAACAGGCACAGCACAAGTGACCTCCTAAGACTGAGGTACTCAGTGAGCTGATAAAGACACTGGAGTAACTGTGTAAGGAGAAACAGGAAAGTAGAATGGATGCTTCTTCAAAGTCTGTGAAGTCAGCGCTGGTGATGTAATTCAGCAGTAGAGTGCTTGCCCAGCATGCACAATGAGGCCTGGGTTCAATCCCCAGGACAGCAACAAAATAAAACAGTCTATGAAGAAAGAAGCAATGTGGAGCTGAAAGGTACAAATTGAAGACAATAGGTAACCAGGGATGAGCTATTGACTGAGCCCTGATGATGGAAGGCTGTTCAGTGACATTCCATAGAAGGGTGGAGAAGAATGAGTGCACCTTGATGGGGTGGAAAACAGAGATCGACTTACTGAGTATTGTGCAGCACTGTCTGGACAAAGGCGGGATTTGTCTCCATAGAAGCCGTTACCAGAGATGTCAGCAGAGACCAATACCATATTGCCGAAGCATCTGAGACTGAGACCCCAGACTTCTTAACTCTCTGAAAGCCAACAGCCCTCAGACCATGAATCCTAGTGTCACATCCATCGCTAAGACAACGCTTTATGTTAATCTGGACATCTGTCAAGCACAAACAACAAATTCAGTATTGGATTGACTTGTTTAGTTCAGTAAATGCTAGGCTCTCAACTAAAAGCAAAACGGTAATTGATGTTTTGAAAAGAAAATTCTGAAGACATACTTTGATGACAGAAATAAATGTGCACAATGGAACTAGTACATAATAAACCTATCACAAAACATTGATGAATCCAAGAAATTTAAAGAGTAATTTGTAAAATTAAGGGTGGCTTATCATAGAACTTCTTAGGAACTTATGAGTTCTGAAAAGTTATAATGCTTCACAAAGAGCATTATAAATCCTGACTGAACACTTGGTGAGAACTTTCCAGAACTCTTCCTAGAGTTTGAAATCTGGATTGAGTTATAAAGCAGCTGGCTCATAAGTAGTTGTGCAATCCAGTCCAAACAGAAGACACAGACATGATTCACTTTCAGGAGATGTCACAATTTCTTATTTGAGTTTGGGGGTAGGTGAGAAGTTAAAAAGGACACAAATTAGAGAAAAGAGCACCAAAGGGGGTAAGGCAGAAAGCTTCTACTCCACAAGCTTTACTACTTCTTTGCCTACAGGCAAAACACAAAGACACTACCTCCCTAGGCCTCAGTTCCTCTGAGCCAAGTAAGAACACTTCTTTTGACCCAGGAAAGCATTAGAAGAAATGAGACAAAACATGAAGTATTCCGGCTCCCTGAATGAAATAAGGCTGGAAAGAAATCACACAATTGTGATTATTTCCAAAAAGCTATGTGTGAAGCAAGGTGTAACAGTATAAAGTTAGACACATAAATGTACAAGAATAAGAGTGGGTTAAAATTGACTTATTTTTACAACATTAAATAAAGGTGTTCATGAATACATGATACAACAACACATCAAAAAATACCAAAGAACTTGAGTAGATTATTATCATTTTTGTAAAAAGATATGTATAGATAATTGTGTATGTGAATATAATGCTTTTTTTTAAAAAAAAAGTGTGTGCATGTGTGTGTGTGTGTGTTTATACATGTGCACATAAATACACAAATACACGAGAAGTTATGGAAGGATTCTCACCAAGGTAGTCATACTGACAATCCCTAGGTAGTAGGATTTGAGTACTTTTGTTTTTCCATATTTTTCTAATTTTCCAATAAAACAAAAGAATAAAATATTTTAAACTAAGAAAAGGTTCTATTGTTTTTCAATAGTTTTAAAAACACGTATGAGGTGAAATAATGATCACTTACGTGTGTGTCATGAGAAGCAAATCAAATCTCAAAAGAAAACTAGCAGCTTTTCTACTTCAAAGGTTCTACTGCTAAAAAATAAAACTTCCCTTCATCTCCTCCCCATTCCCTTAGTTTTGTTTGACTCACAGAGCTGACTGATATTGGCGTTTTCCAGCAGTGTCACATAGCCAGTGACATTGCTAGGGATGTGCACATCTCGAACTTCCTGAAGATCGCCGGCACTCCTCCCCACAGCTACTGTCACCTGCTGTGGCATATAACTCTGGTCAGTGGCAGCAACTGCAATGGACAGGTGCCTAAGCACAACATCTGGCTTCATTTTTAAGCTGGAAAACAGAAAGCAGAAATCACAGTGTTTATATGAATGCACCTTGATGGGGTGGAAATCAGAGATCAACTTACTGACTATTGTGCAGCAGTGTCTGGACAAAGGCGGGATTTGTCTCCATAGAAGCCATTACCAGAGATGTCAGCAGAGACCAATACCATATTGCCGAAGCATCCTAGACTTAACTCTCTGAAAGCAACAGCCCTCAGACCATGAATCCTAGTGTCACATTCATCGCTAAGACAACGCTTTATGTTAATATGGGTCAAAAACAAGACCCATTTCAAAGGTCTGATATTTGATATAACCAAACACTGATTTTTCCTAATAGCAACTAACTTAAATACTGGTTATGAGTTTCAAGGTCCATATGACATTCCCAAATCTCGAAAAAGCCTTTCAGGTCAAGATTAATCTTATATTTCCTTTTCAGTATTAGGATAGGCAGGAAGGGACAATATAAACAACGAACATTCTAACAAAATTCTTTTACATGCCAAGAAGCAAATTCTAAACTGCATTCCCTAAATTGAGTATATTCCCTTATCTTTAAATTAGGTAGATGGTTAAAGGTCAAAAGTGACCTACCCCTAAAAGAAAATTAGAAAATTATTTCTATTCCTGCCAATTAAAATTAGCCCATTTTCTGAAGGGAAATGTGAAAATTTAGACAGCAGTTTCAGAACTTCTAGAAATTCCACAGTTTACTGACAAGAACATCACTCCAGGATTCCTGGCCATCCCACTCTCTTCTGAACTGACCAACTCATACATGAATTTTGAAAAAGTATAGAAGTACAATTATATCTATGTAAAAAAGTTCTTGTCCTTTGTAATATTAATTTTCATGAGAACTACTGAAAAGGATCTGAAATCAGTATTATAAAATATTAGTCAAATGTTACTTCTTCCTTTTAAACATCAAATAAAGAAACTATATGTTTATGAATATGTGAACCAAGCTACATGATTTTACGATTCCTTATACTTGATTGAGGCATCTTTACAGAAATCTACTCATAAGAAAAAAATTGGGCAATTGAGTACAAAAAATTCCAAATTTTAAAAATAATAAGCCAGGCGCAGTGGCACACATCTGTAATCCCAGCAGCTCAGGAGGCTAAGGCAGGAGGAGTGGAAGTTCAAAGCCAGCCTTAGAAACTTAGCAAGATTCTGTCACTAATAAAATATAGAAAGGGTCTGGGGATGTAGCTCAGTGCTCCTGGGTCCAATTCCTGGTACCTAAATAAATAAATAAATAATAAATAAACGTGCTGTGCCACCTACCGAATCCAGTGTGAACGGGCACTGCCATCTGACTGCCAGTAGGATGATGTTTCTCCATTTGTCATCTTGTCGATGTCAGCAGGGTTGGAGGATGTTTCTATATAAGCATAGCACTTTGTTACTGATTTGAGTTTATCCATCTCTGGGCTTCTGGTAAGATCTCCAGGGCTTTCTGCAGGAAAATCAGAATTTACCACATGATATCTCTTTCACAAAGAGAAAAAATATCTAACAGAAAATGCTTGGTCACTTTGGCACCAGAAACTGTAATGTTCCTTAAAATCTCCTTCCAAAGAACCCACTGGCCAAGAATTGCCCATTATCTCATTATAGTACAATACTCAAATCACTGATACATTTACAAAAGGATGCCAAGAGAAGAAAATGGTTTCTTTTTTTTTTTTAACTCTATTTTTTTAAACCTTTACTTTATTTTTTTATTTGTTTGTTTGTTTTATGTGGTGCTGAGGCTTGAACCCAGCGCCTTGCACGTGCTAGGTGAGCGCTCTACCTCTGAGTCACAACCCCAGACCAGAAAATAGTTTCTTATACTTTGAGTTTACATTTCTTTAATTATGAGTGAGGCTTTTTAAGCCACTTATGTTTCTGAGTTCTTCCTCTTTCATTTTCTTCTGGGTCACTGGTCTATTAAGTAATGCATTTTATACATTGTATCATGTATATACACACATATAATAGCTAACATTTACTTGAGTGTTTACTGTGAGTCAGATTTTTCTGTCTGTTTTGTTTTGGTGGTTCTGGGGATTTAACCCAGGGGTACTTTACCACTGAGCCACAACCCAGCTCCTCTCTAGTACTCTTACTATTTTCTCTCCAGTTGAACTTTTTGATAAATCTGAAATCTATTTTAATGAGTGAAATGAAATAAGAATCTAGCTTTATTTTTTTCTCCAAATGGCTAAATAGTTGCCCTAACCCTATTTGTTGACAAATCATCTTTTCCATTCTAATTTGTATAGCTGATTTTATCTGGTTCTACAGTTCCACATAAACTTGGATCTATTCTGAACCCTATTATGTGCCATAGACCTGTCTATAAACACCTCAACTTCTGTTACCATCACTAAGTGAGTCTGAGGTAGTTTCTCTCATTTATTCAATATATATTCCTTAAATAAATATTCTACTATGTGACAGAGGAATCTCAGTTACAAAGGATAAGGAACCAAAAAAAAAAAAAAAAAAAGCAAAACAGAACAGCCAGGCACAATGGTGCATGTGTATAATCCCAGCTGCTTGAGAGGCTAAGGCAGGAGGATCATGAGTTCAAAGCCAGCCTCAGCAAAGGTGAGGGTCTAGGCAACTCAGTGAGGCCCTGTCTCTATATAAATTACAAAATAGGGTTTGGGATGTGGCTCAGTGGTTGAGTGCCCCTGAGTACAATCTCTGGTACAAAAAACAAACAAACAAAAAAACCCCCCACAGAACATAGGTAACAAATAATGCTAAGACTTCAAATAATCAGTGCTATGTAAGTCATTAAACCTACAAGGTAATATTAATCAGAAGGTGGAAACTGAGGAAATGGAGGCAGGGACTATTAATTAGAGTAATGAAAAAAGGTATCCCTAAAGTCATATCTAAACTGAGAGATGAACGATGAGAAACTAAAACTGGCTGTGTAGAAGGAAGGAAGGAAGGAAGGAAGGAAGGAAGGAAGGAAGGAAGGAAGGAAAGATCGATCATATAAGGCTACAAGCTGGTTTCTATTACGTTTTCAGAAATAAAGGCTGGGACAATGACTGGCTCATCTTATTAAATGCATGGTTTAGAAGAAACAATGATAGAGTCAGGAGAATCTCTTATGTACATACCCTTTTCTTTTTGTACCAGTTGATCCAGAGACTCCTTTAGAACCGAAGACCGCATGGTGCACATGTTATTGCAGTGGTCCAACATCGGGTAGGGAATTACCATGCTAGAGATCCGATTGCGATGCAGGAAGCGAAGTATCATTGATGAGTGAACACCAAGGCCTTCTTTTGACTCTGAAAATATGTCTATAAAACCTAAAGAGATAAAATACATTTTTGGTGTTTTGGGGAAGCTACTACAATAGTTTCCACACTCCCTGTCTGGTGGCCCATCTGAATTGGCTGAACTAAAAGCAGTTATTAACAGCCTTCATTGATATTTTCAGCCTTAATCATTTAAAAATCTAAATAAGTTTTAAAGAAACGAACCATTGGCAATCTCAGTTTAAGAATTATTTTCATTTTTGTTGGATAGACTTTCAGAAGATGTAGAACAATGATTATTTGTTTTAATTCAAGTGTTAAAAATGTATAAGCAAGTAAATATTAACTAGAGATTTTTTTTTTTTTTTTTTTTTTTTTGGTGGTGCTGGGGATTGAACCCAGGGCCTTGTGCATGTGAGGTAAGCATTCTACCCACTGAGCCATGTCCCCAGCCCGAGATTTTTGTTTCCTTAGGTTTTCTCAGGGCTGAGGACTGAACTCAGGGCCTTGCATGTGCTCTGTGACTAAACTAATCTCCAACCCTTAAATAGAGATTTTTAAAGATATAGGATATAGGCTAGGAATAGAATTTATTGCATTATAGAGTAAAAACACAGCTGGTTTTATATTACGTTACAATACAACTACTGCCATTACCATGACCTCTGATGATGTTTCACAACATAGAAGGTACTTGCATGCATAACCTCATTCAGTCTTCACAAGGTATAGACAGGGAAGGTAAAGGTATCCTTGGTTACAACTGACGAAATGAAGCTCAAGTAACATAACAATATGTCAACAAGAAAAGGGTAAAATAAAGTTGGGCACAGTGGTGCACACCTGTAATTCCAGCTACTTGGGAGGCTGAGGCAGGAGGACAAGTTTGAGACCAGCCTGGAAAATTTAATGAGACCCTGTCTTAAAATAAAATAAAATAAAATAAAAAGGGCTGGGTATGTAGTTCAGAGGAGGAACATTTGTGGGTTCAATCCCCAGTATCAAAAAAGAAAAAGAAAAAAGAAAGAAAAGAAAGGAACAGAATGGGGAACATTTCCTCACACTCCCTTAGATGCTCCTTCCAACATCTAGTCTTTCTCCCCAGTGTGACTCCTCTGAATTTGCCCCTCTGTTCACCCTCTGCCCTCAACACCTCCTCCTCAAATGCCCTAAACAGATGTGATAAGTGGCTCCCTGGCTGCCTCCCATGTAACATCATTCCAGGTAATCTTATAAGACACAAAACAGACCATATATACCTCTGTTTAAAATCTTTCCCTGGTTCCATAACCTATATTAACACACTTCAAACAAACTGGCTCATAACCTAGGAGTGCTAGGGTTAAGTGAAGGGAGGATAAACATGATAGTTTTTTTTCCTGGAGATCAGATATATTTGTGGATTGGGGAAGGTTTTTTTGCTTGGTTTAGTTTTGGTTTGGGGTTTTAACCTTCCAATGAATCACGTAACACACATAACAAAAAGTACAAATAATTGTATAGTTCAAGAGTTTTCACAAATTGAAAATACCCATGTAAGCAACCCCAGATCAAGAGTCCAGAGGGCTGAGGATGTAGCTCAATGGTACAGTGCTCGCCTAGCATGTCTGAGGGCCTGTGTTCAATCCCCAATACAAGGAAAAACAAAACAAAACTCCAGAAGTCTCTAGAGGAAGCTGTCTTCAATAGTATAAGAAACAGATTCATTAAAGCAGAATGAAACTCTGTATTAATTTTTAAGATGAAGCATGAAGCTGAGGATAAATTTTACACTTGAAATAGCCTAGTTCAACTATGTGCAAACTATATCCCCACTGCCTAGAGACAACTGATTTATGAAAACTCAAAAAGTCCAGCTAATCTCTCCCCACCCACAGGAGGACCCAGGCCTCATATTCATAACACTGCTGATGCTGCACTGAGTTGCTCAGAACCCACAACAAAAAACATACTGGCTGAGTGTGGTGGAGCACAACTATAGTTCCTGTAATCTGTGAGGCTGAAGCAGGAGGATCACAAGTTCAAGATCTGCCTCAGCAACTTAGTGAGATCCTGTCTCAAAATAAAAAATAAAAAGGGTTGGGATGCAGCTCAGTGATAAAACACCCTTAGGTTCAATTCCAGAATAAAACAAAACAAAACGACAACCACAAAAACATTAAAACAACCTTCCGGAATGACGGGGAAATGTGTTCAGATGTTGAAATATTAAGTAAATGAATGAATTGGTTCAATGAATTTAGTAAAACGCACCACTACAATGGGATACAAAAGGAACTAGTCTTAGTATAGGAGGATATTAGAGAGAGGAATTAGAAAACTGTGAGATGCCAGTACAGAGGTGACTTCAGCTTACAAAGGTTTGTCCTAAGATGGTGATAATGCAATTCTTTTAAGTTGAGTGTTGATGGAAATCTTTTAGTAGAAAGTCCTAAGTCATGTACCTACTGTGTAAGCATCTTGGGATCTGGACTCTGAATTTTTCTCTACCCTCTTTTGCCCCTGGCCCCAGGCATCAGCACAACAGTGCAATAGGTACTAACTATTGATAGATTCCCTGGTGCATACTCCCTTTCTCTTCTCCAGAAAAATCTTACTAAAGTATCCACATAAAGATCTTGCAAAACGATGCAAAGATGACAGTAATATGTAAATGCTAAAATATATATCAGCCAAATGCAACTCCAAGTATAATTTATTTGTTTACTTATTTTTTGGTGCTGGGAATTGCTTTGCCACTGAGCTACATACCCAGCCCTTTTCATTTTTTTAATTTTGAGACAGGATCTTGCTAAATCCCTCAGGTAACCTTGAACTTGGGATCTTCCTGCCTCAGCTTCCCGAGTCACTGGGATTATAGACACATGTGACCTCGCTTGGCTCACAGTATAATTTTAAAACTGCTACGAGACTAGAAAAAAATGCTAATATGTACAGGCTACCTATAATGCCCTATAAATATTACATAATTAAAGACAACTTTTTTTTTTTTAAGAGAGAGTGAGAGAGATAGAGGTAGAGAGAGAGAGAATTTTTTAATATTTATTTTTTAGTATTTGGCGGACACAACATCTTTGTTTGTATGTGGTGCTGAGGATCGAACCCGGGCCGCACGCATGCCAGGCGAGCGCGCTACCGCTTGAGCCACATCCCAGCCCCTAAAGACAACTTAAGGAGGAATGGAAGCATGCATTCTTCATTAAAATACAGATATCCTTCCCTAGCTCAATACATCACTCAGCAGTAAGCCAGAGGGGTCAAAAGAACTAGGTTTACATTTGTCTATCAAATCTATTTTGCCTCCACTGCTGCCCTAGCTATAGTAGGAATTCTATTTTTTTAAGAGAGAGAGAGAGAATTTTAATATTTATTTTTTAGTTCTCGGCGGACACAACATCTTTGTTTGTATGTGGTGCTGAGGATCGAACCCAGGCCGCACGCATGCCAGGCGAGCGTGCTACCGCTTGAGCCACATCCCCAGCCCGATATAGTAAGTATTCTAACACAGAGTGTACAGAGCAGGAAAAATTCTTAGATAAGATGAACTGCAACTAAAAGGAAGATGTACAATGTTTTTTTCCCCTTGAAACTCAACTGTTTTCTCTTTAGTTTTTTTTTTTTTTCTGATTCTGTCTTTACATGAGTCAGAGCTCCCAAAGAAAATCATTCAAAAATAGGCTAAGTTTTTCTGTATGTACAAGATAGAAGCAGCAATGCTTACTTTTAATTTATTTATTCTTAAATTTCAAAGTAATAGCTTTCTAAAAACACACACAAAAACAAAATGCTTACCAAGTGTAAAAAAAAAAGTCAAATGTGAGGACAGCAGAATTAAAAGAGAAGGTCCCTGTCCTCATGAAGCTCATAGTACAAGAATGAAGACAGACATTTAACAAATAATTGTGTCATTTGTTAATAAATTATAATGCTAATATGTTCCAGAAAAGAAATGCAGGAGGGATAGAGAAGTCTCTTGAAGAGTGAATAGAAGATCCACTAAGGAAGGCACTCTTCTGACAAAGGTTCACAAAAACAGTAGAACTGGGGAGTCATCATTATAATGGGGGATGAAAGAGATGGCTATGCTGAATGCTAGTTTAGATCATGTGCCCAGTGAATGCTAGTGGGGGAACTTTATTCATTGTGCCAATAAGCTTGCCCAATTTCAAGATTGTCTAATTTCAATTTAAAGCACAATAAATTAATTTTGGTTCTAAGAGAACACTTTTGAGCATTTGAAAATCCCATGAAAGTCTTACCTGGAACAAGAGAGCAGGCTTGTAGCTGTCTGATGACGTGGCTTAGCTCCCCCTGAAGATTAGCTCCACTGGAATTCTTGAGGGCCTCCAACATGTTCTCAGCATCAACAGTACCATCACCCTCAGCATCAAACTGGGCAAAGGCCTATAAAACAAGGATGCAAAAAAATCTGCACTGTTTCAATTTTTAATTTTTTTTATAATTCTCAAGACCAATGATTTTTTATTTTGTTTTATTGTTTTGGTTGCAGGGAGAAGAGTCTCTATATATCATGCAAAGAACAAATACATTCAGAATCATAACCCTCACTATGCTTTGTAGGACACATTACCAGTATACACATACATGCCATTTTTGCCATCTTATCTCATCTCATCTCTCCTCCAAGGAGATGCCCCTCCCCACCAAATAATTTGAAAAGAAAGAATCTACTGCAAAGTTTTTCAATGGCTGCATAGTGTCAAACAAAAAGCAAAACTTAGAAAAATTGGCTTAGAGTAGCACCTCAGGTTTATCTAGGATTTTTCTTTTAAACAATCTTTATACTCAGTGACTTAGGAAGCTAAGGCAGAAGGATCACAAGTTCAATGTCAGCCTCATCAATTTAGGGAGACCCTAAGTAACTTAGCAAGACCTGGTCTCAAAATAAAAAAAAAAAAAAAAAAAAAGGTCTGGGGATTTAACCCACTTTATCATTGCCTCTGGGTTCAATCCCCAGTACCAAAACAAAACAAAACTCTTTGGAGCATGGGGCAGTGACACATGCCTGTAATCCTAGAGACTTGAGAAGCTCAGGCAGGAGGATCACAAGTTTGAGGACAGCCTGAGCAACTTAGGGTGACCCTAAGCAATTCAGCAATACACTGTCTCAAAATAAAAAATACAAAGGGCTAGGGATGTGGCTCAGTGGTTAAGAGCCCTTGGATTCAATCTCCATACCAAAATAAAAATAAAAACTGTCTTTGGGCATTCTTTTTTTTTTTTTTCCCCCTTCTTTTTCAGTTTCTTGATCTGAAAAATGCAATAAAAATTGCCAAACTCACAGACAGCTACTTTCATAATGGACACGTGAACAGAATTCAATACAGTGAAAGCCATTTGCAGTACAGTGTTCCCTTCGTCCTTTCTAATAGGCAGCCTCTGGTAACCCTGACCTCATTCCCTCTCATATCCTACAAGACCTTTCTCTTGGAACAGCTACACCCTCTACCTGGATCTCAGTTCCTGCCTCATTGTGGCTTCTATCCTGTTGTGATACTTGTACTCCCAAACCTCATTACCATGAAATACTCTGGAGTTACTGGTCCAAGTAAGCCTTTTTCTTCCTTAAACCTTTTCCTTATTTCACTGCTCTATAAAATATGGAAATATCCTATTGAGGTTTCATGACACAGTAGTTCTATTTCCATCCCAACACAGATCTCTGAACAATACAATGTTTAATAGGAACAAATGCAAATTCCTGTGCTTGAGCCCAAAAACCATGAGCATGAGTGCAAGATGGGGGACAGAGAGCTTAGAAGTGATGTGCAAAATAAAGATGGCAGCATTCTTTTTGTCTCTAATCAACTTGACACAGAGTATCCAAAAAGTTAACAGGTTCAAAGACTACACTAATCAAGTTAAAATGTTCCAAAGGAGAGATCTTGTTCTCCTCTGATTAGAACTAACTGGGAAAGCTGAGTGAAGTTATATACCCAAAGAAATGAAATGAGGAGACCAGAAATTATAGCCTGTGGGGACCAGCTCCATGGAATCTTTTTTTTTTTTTTTTTTTTTTTTGATGGTGCTAGGGATTGAACCTAGGGACTTGTGCATGCCAGGCAAGCACTTTATCAACTGAGCCACATCCCCCACCCCTCCATGGAATCTTAAATATCAACATTCATTTTGTCTTCATTTTCTTTTCCTTTCTCTTTCTCTTCTTTTTCCCTGCCTTTGTACCTCTTTCTTGGTATTGCTGAGGATCAACCCAGGGCTTCACATACACTAGTCAAGCACTCTACTACTGAGTTATTTCCCTGGACCATGGACTCTTTGCAATGGAGAAGAAATAGTAGGAAGTAACAGAATCCTTCTCTTTAAATATGATGAGCTATTATGGGAAGGTGGGAAAGTAGTGGTTGAAATTAACTTCATCAAATAGAAGTTAGAGGGAAAAGCTGGACTTGTTTTTTTTCAGTATATAAAATGGATTAGGCAGCTCTAAGAAGGAATGTCCACCCCATCCCTCAGAGTTTCAGAGGAACAGCCAGCCAACCAACCATGTATTAAAAAAAGTCATACTTAACAAATATACTTAAAATAAAAAAATATTCTGTTTCCCCACAAAGTCCCATTAAGACAATATTATAAATGGATTTCCTATTTTTTGAAAGCACAAGGACAAAGAAAATAGGCGATAATGCAATAGCTACAAAATTTTGGAAGCTGAGAAATAGACAGATGGGTAATACCAAGTTGTCTGACCCAAGAAAGTGGGATCCTATACTGGGAGTGGGTAATCTGAGAAACAAACTGCTTTATACTGCAAGACTCCAGAAGCTTAAGATTTGGTAGAATAGGTACTACAGAAGATGGAAATGATTAATCAAAGCTCATTTTAAAAAGCAGTCATAGGGCTGGGGATGTGGCTCAAAAGGTAGCGCACTCGCCTGGCATGCGTCCGGCCCAGGTTTGATCCTCAGCACCACATATAAAGATGTTGTGTCTGCGAAAAACTAAAAAATAAATATTAAAATTCTCTCTCTCTCTCTCTCAAAAAAAAAAGCAGTTATAAATCCCAGCTACTCTGGAGGCTGAGGCAGGAGGATCATGGGCACCTGGGCAACTAAGTGAGACCCTCAAAATAAAATTAAAAAAGGGCTAGGAATGTTGCTCTGTGGTGGAGCATTTGCCTATGGTATATGAGACCCTGGGTCCCATTCTCAGCACCACAGAAAAAGAAAAGACTGGATACTGATCTTAAGAAGTCACTAGCTATTTTGTTTTGTTTCTGAGTGGAAAGAATGTTATTATTTTGTGGTTTTTTTTTAAAGAAGTTCTTATTTTTTGGAAATACATAATGACATTTATGGATAAAATAATATGATGTCAAGATTTGCTTCAAAATAATTTGAATGGGAGAAATTAGTAGGTGAAGTCTTCTAATCAAATAAAATTGGTCTTGAGTTGGTAAGTGCTGAAACTGGCTAATAGGTACATGGGAGCCACTCTACTCTTATTTCTACTTTATGCTTAAAATTTTCTGTTAGGAAAAAAGAAAAGGCAGATTCCTCTCCCAATCTTGTAGAAGCCTGGAGTTGATTCTGTGGAGAGCAGTCCAGAATGTGAAGCAGGAAATACAGAAATACCAGGCACAGCTGAAAGTGAGAACCCCATGCTGAAAATAAGGGAATTGATGCTCACTTGCTAAATATGTCAAAACTCAACCTCCCCTCAGGGATCTCAGAATGCTAGTACACGGTCCCATACCCTTCTCAGTAGGAGAAGGAAGAATCTTCTCTGTGGAACCTGATAAGCCCTAGGGAACAGCCCTGTAGAATCTGAAAAGGAGTTTCCCAGTGAAAGGGCCCAGCCAATTCACCTGACATCAAGGTTCACCAGTCAACAAGCCAGATATATGGAGCATCCAAATTTTAAGTTCTTAGTCCTCATTCTTTAGTGAGTGGACAATCCAGAACCAGGAGACATTTGAGAAAAGCTTTAATATGAAACACAAAGAGAGAAATGAGAAGAAAAGGAAGACTATGCAAGGAGAAGAAAACTTCAAAAGAATGATTAATGTCCTCATAAAATTGTTTTAAAAGACATTTTAATTCTACTTTCACTGAGACTAAAGACATTTTAATTCTACTTTCACAATTTACCATAAAATTCACTGTTAAAATGTATAATTCACTGGGTCTTAGTATATTCAGAGATGTGCAACCACTACCTCCAGTATTAGATAAAATTAGATATTGCAACCATGAAAGAATAGGAGACTATTACTGAAGAGAATATATTGAGAAAATTCTTTTTTTAAAAAAATTCTTTAGTTGTCAATGGGCCTTTATTTCAATTATTTGTACGTGGTGCCAAGAATCGAACCCAGTGCCTCACACATGCTACGCAAGTGCTCTACCACTGAGCCAAACCCCAGCCCCTGAGAAAATTCTTTTTTTTTTTTTAAGAGAGAGGGGAGAGGGAGAGGGAGAGGGAGAGGGAGAGGGAGAGGGAGAGAGAGAGAGAGAGAGAGAGAGAGAGAGAGAGAGAATTTTTTTAATATTTATTTTTTAGTTTTCGGCGGACAACATCTTTGTTTGTATGTGGTGCTGAGGATCGAACCCGGGCCGCACGCATGCTACCGCTTGAGCCACATCCCCAGCACCTGAGAAAATTCTTAATGCTTTTAAAAATAAAAATATCACAAAGAAATGAACACCTGGAGAAAGGCTGGAAGGTAAAGTTAACTAAAGGGCCAAAAAGTAGAGCAAAAAGACAAAAATTATAGAAACTGAGAGAGAAAAGAGAAAAAAAATCAGGGGACTGGTATAGGAAGTCCCACTTCCAAATAACATGAGTCCCAGAAAGATGGAACACAGAAAAGGAAGGGAAGGATATCACAAAAATTATGATTCCCCTATCTAAAGGGTGTGAATTTGGAGACTGAAGGGGCTGAATAATCGGCACCATGGATGAGAGTACATCACAACAAAATGTCATAACAATTAAGTGAAAGAATTCCTATTTCTGGGAAGAAGAAAGTTTCCTCACAAAAGTTCAACAACCAGAGTGGGGTGGATTTGGCAGTCACACTGGAAGCCAGAAGGCAAAGGCAGCAGTGCTTGCGACATTTTTGCCCAGTTCTAAAAACAGAAGTTAATACTCTGCCAAAATACTGTGGGAGAGTAGAATAGACATTCTTACACGTGCAGAGTTCTCAATAAATGAACTACTTAATGTTCCCTTTTCCAAAAAGCTACTAGAGGATATGCCTACCAGAATGAACATATCAAGAAAGGGAAAGAATGAATGGGATCCAACTAGAAGAAAAAAATAAATCCCTATGATGATGGAGATTCTAAGACCACAGCACGTCTGATCTAAACTAAATCAGAGCAGAAAGCTCTGGGAAATATTTCTTTGAGAAGACAAAACTG